CCCTGGCTGAGGAGCCCCTGGCAGCAGGGGCGGGTGTCCCACAGCTCCCCACTTCGCAGGGATCTTCCTCCGTCCCCACCCTCCTCTCCCATACCTGCCCCGGCCCCACCCCTCGGGGAGGGCAGCTCCTCCTGCTGCTGCTGCTGCTGCCGTTGCAGGAGCCTGGACCTGATGCTTAGCGCTGCCTGGAGCCCGCCCGGAGTTTGGACGATTTGCCACTTGCAGCAGCTGGCAGAAACCGCCGGGCAGCGGCAGGGCTGGGATCGACTGCTCCGAGGAAGGAAAAGAAAAAAAAAGGCCTGGTTGAGGAGACTGGTCTCTGCATTTCTGACGGCCTAGGGTTTTGTGTGGCATCTGCCCACCTGGATGCTCTCCTGGCCCCGAAAGGTAGAGGGGAAGCTGCCCTTCTCGCCCTTGGGGAGTGGCAGTGTGGGTTTCCCCAGGCCTAGGGAGAGGCGCAGTCAGTCAGTCGTGGGTGGGGATACACATGAGCGCTTGCAGTGTGGCGGGAGTCACAGGGCACATGGCTCAGTGGGGTGATCATGTCCTGCAGGGACTGGTTGAAACTGTAGAAGTGGTGCAGAAGAGGATTTCTCCGCCAGCCCGCAAAGCGGAGGTCTGTGGTTTTGATCTCTATTGGCAACCACGAAGGGGCCTAGCTGTATAGAGCTGCAATGCCATGGATACATTATCAGAGGCTAAATCAGCATTTCTACCCTAACATTTTCTGCAGCCTCCCCTCCTCATTAACCCTGTAGTACTGGTGAGCCACTAAGGGGGCACAATGGGAACAAACAGGTCAGAAATCAAAGGGCTGTAGCATTCCCCCTGTGCTGCAACCCTTTCACGGAGCCCACCCTCCTTCTTTCTTTTCAGATCCCAGCCTGACTCTCCGACAGCCAGCCGGCACACCACTCCTCCTGCTATTCATGGCCAGCATGCAGCTGCAACTACTTCCCTAGGCTGACACAGCAGCAGCTGCTAAATGTGTGTCAGCTGGCCAGCCACTCGCCAAAGTCCTCCTGCCTGCTTTGCTTCCCTTGTTGCTGTCACTTTCCTGCTTGCCCATCTCCAGACCTGCTTCCCCCGTTCCATCTTTCCCACTCCCATAATCTGCCCCAGTGCCCCCAGTTCTCCTGCTGTCCTGCACCCACCCCTACAGCTGTCCCTATTCACCTGACTCTCACTTCAGGAAACCTTTTCCCCTCCTTCCCCACAAAGAGTTACCATTGATTGCCTGGTTTCCCCTCTACACATCAAACAAACAAACAAAAAACTCAGAAATGAAGAAAATAGTCATTTTCATTTTTATGCTGCTTTTTCCAAAAAAGGTGCCCTCCACCATGGCAGCACTTATACATCTAATGGTTAAGACAGCCTTGGCTTTATCTCCTTCCTCTAAACATATGGCTGCTTGTAAAAATGTCTTAGGGTTATTTCTCAGCAGAAGGGAAAGGAAGTGGAAGAGAAACAGAAGTGGAGCTAGTCTGGTGTTTTAAGGTTGCTATGCCTTGCTAGGCAAAATCTCCACTAAATCCCAGCCCATGCCATTTTCCCATCCATCTAAATCCCATCCCCAGTCCTACATGGAAGGGGAAACTGCATTTCAGCATGTAGAGATTTCTGACAGCCAGTGGGGAGGTTTCTTAAGACAGATCTGTGCCTCCTGATGTGAGAACGGTAGGTGGGAGCCAGCTATATTTGAAGCAAAGGCCATTCTGGTTCTGCAGCTCATCATGAATAAGCATTAAAAGCAACTTTCTGCTTCTTTCCAGGAGAAGCAGCAAGATGAGCCTGGGGTTCCCACCATATACATATGTTGGGACTTTGATGTGTGTGTCTAATTACCTGTTCTACCACAGGGCCCCTTTATTGCCCGAGTCTCTCTGCCTCAGCTTCCCCTCTGTGAATGCTGAGGTATTCAGGCCCTCTAGGAGTACAGGACACAGCGTCAGCACTGTACCTAGACTGCCGGCGGCCCCGGGGAAGCTTTTAGTACCGGCGCCCCCTTCGCCAGAAATAATGATAATAATAATTTTTAAATTACCATTTTGGGGCCCCCTTTCTGCCCGGGCCCCAGGCAGCCACCCAGTTCGTCCATGCCTGTGTCTGGCCCTGCACAGTGTAGTTGTGATGATGGACCACCAAAGTATCATCTATGCCTATGACCACTTTTTAAAAAAAGCTTCCCCTCATCCATTTTCCAGTCTTTCTCCTTGGTTCAGATTGTGCCTTTCCCACCAGTTTAGCTATTTCTCACTGTGCCACAACAGTGGTTTCCTAATGCTTCATTTTGTTCTCCTATTCTGCGTTTCACCATAGCTGTTATGTCTCAGCTGCTGCAGGATATCACCCTTTTCTTCTACCTGTAGGCAAAGCTGTTTGGTTACACCTGGGTCTGGAGCAGTTACTGACAACACGTAGCTGCTTTAAAAACAAAAAAAAAGCTTTCCAGTGCTTTAGGGATATGTCATGTTACTAGCTGCAGAGAAGGAAGCTCACTAGTCATAGGACAAGCAAAGAATAAGCAGGGGAAGCTTCCTTCACTGCTCAAACCATCTGCATCAGGTCTGTGTGTCCCAGTGGGGCCATGTCTAAGGATGGAGGCCAAACTGCCTCCCTTATTTATTCTTTGTCTCTTCTATAGAGACTACCAATTGTGCTGATTTTGGAGGTGCGGACTGTCCCAGGGGGGCTGTTTTGAAATCACCAAGTTCTTTAACAGGAGTACCACCCAGCCCCCAGCAGGCCTATACTTAAACTTGTGAGGCCAGCAGGTGATTGGGTGAGCAGCACCAACTGCAGAATCTACCCCAGAAAAAGAATAATTTTCTATTGCTCTTGGCGAGGGCCCTGATCAGGCACCCAATTGTGGTGTAGGCACATGAAGCAGCATGTAGGATCAAGGTCTTGGGACTAGATTTAAACAAGCAACTTAAAGGTGAAAGGTTTATAACTCACTCCCAATCAGCTGTGCTATCCAGTGCCCCCACAAGGTCCAAGGCTGCCAAGTGTGACACATCCCATGTTACTTCCATGCCTGCAGCCCAGCCAGAATGTCACCCAAACTCATAGCCTAGCCTGACTCTCATGCATCTGGCTGGGTTGCACAGAAGATGCAGGCACTTTACTGGCACTTATTGCCCCAGGAAACAAGGGATTGCTTCGGTGTAGGAAGCCCCCTGCCAGCGTGCTATCCCTCACCTGCTGGATCCTAGGGGGAGGGTACTGCAGCTGCCCTGTCGCTAAATGCTGCTGCCCCAACTACTTACTTCAGCTTAAGTGGTATCCCCACAGCAGTTACCATTACACCCCAACACCTGTACAGTGACTTTATACATCACTCTCACCATCTCAGAAGACAGAGCCCCAAAGTGATCTTGGGCTCATGCAAGCTTGTGCTATACCTCTGTGATTTAAATAGTCTAAAAGATGCAAATCTACCTTGCTTTAAGTAGGACAGCCATTTCACCTGCTTCTGGGCTAGCAGCATACAATACCTCCTTCATGGGAGGACAACTGGCCTCTGCCTGAGGAGGGGTTCAGAGTTCCTCCCCACCCTCCTGAGGTCTCCGATGTTCCTCACCTTTGCTCTTGGGGTATTCATTTATACACAGTTAACCACTATTGAGATGAAGTTTAAAGCCTGGAAGCTGAGAGTTATTACCACCTCTTTCTGTTCTTCTTCATGCATCCAGGTCTAGGACACCAAGTGTGGAGGCCAGTAGAAAGGGGCCTGAGAGAGGCTGTGCTGGACTCGGAGTCATTTCCATCTTGAACTCAGCAGAACTTCATTCAGCAGCAAATGAAGAACCTTGGCGTGAGGGGCTCAGCACCACCTTTTGCAGGAACCGGGGTGGGGTTTGTTTGCAGTCCCACTCCTCCCTGCACCCAGCTCTCTGGAGCAGGATTTGTGCTTTTCATCACTACCCCCTCACATGCTGTTTTTTAATGTATATGGGTATATGCAAAACTCAAAGCTCATCAGATCATTTGCATGAAGTATTTCATGCAGGGATCTGCACAAAACTTGCACCTTAAAGGAGGGAACCAGTTGATGACTGGCCAGTTAACCACTTGACAGTCAGCTCAATTTCCCCCCGGTGGGTTATGAAGACACAAGGGATACTTCACTTATTTGCCTTAGACAACCTAACTGATTGATTCTATAGGAGTAAGCCACACCAGACAGTAACCTTTAACCCCGGGAAATGGGTGGAGGGCAGAAGGATCACTTTGGAAGGTGTGCTGGGATGGACATTTTTTCATTCGAAGCTTGAGAGATCGGAGGTTAACCTTGCCTTTCTGGACAGAAGGACTGTGGCTGCCTGCCGTGCATGATGGAACTACAGGACAGACCCAGCAGTGATGAATTATTTCCCCCTCATTCTTCACAAGGACAGTACTGTGAGCTGA